AAAAAAAAAAATAAAAGATATGAAAAACAAAATTAAGTTAATTAACAACACAAAGAAAGGAAAAGAGGAAGGGCATGAAAAGAAAAGGGAAAAGCTTCCATTCATTAAAAAAAAGTTTCAAATAGTAATAAACAGTGAGGCATAATGGTCAATTCAACATTTTTTTTTTTTTTTTTTTTTTTTTTTGCCTTCCATTTAAGGAGCTTCTTATTTTTCATATTTATTTAATTTAGCAATGGAATAATTGTTAACTAAGATTTTCCACTTTATCTTTTCCCTTTATTATTATGGAAAAATAATAGATAGTTGTAACTTGTAAGCACACAAGCAATGTAATTTATGTTAATTATAAGACTATTTTTTTATTGATATTTCTAAGTTATAGTTAAGCTATGCTTTTGAATCTTTACAACCAGTTTGATTTTTTATATTATTCTCAAACTAAGATCTTCTCCAACCGGAGTGCAAAATGCAAAATTTGCAGTACAGGGAGCTCCAATCGGTGCAAAAACTGATCGTAAATTGCGATCTGATCACTCTCTATCCTCAGATTGACGCATATTTGGGTCGGAACGCAAATTATGCGTTATGTCTTTTTTTTTTTTACATTTTGGTCCTTTAAGTTTGTTTAATTTATAAACTGATTTTTGTTTTTTTTGTTATCTTTAGTTTTTAAATAGTAAAAAAATAAATAAACAATCTTTTAAATTAAAAATTAAGTTTAAAAAATTCAAAATTTATCTTTTTTTTTTTTACTTTCATGAAAATTATATAATATGGCATTTAAAATAATTAATATGATATTATTTCATAATAGAGTAATTTTACGTATTAATGTTAATTTTTCACAATAATAATGTAAAATAGTAAAAGAAATAATTTCATAAAAATTAGGTAGTATAATATTTAAAATAACAAATATTATTATTTAATTTTATATATTTCTCAGTAATAATGTAAAGTATACGTATTATTCATGGTATTTTTATTTAACAAGAAAAAAAACACTAACATTAAATAACAACAACATTACTAATAAAGATTGAAATAATATTAATACATGGTAGATCGCGATTTAAAGAAAATTTAAATAACTAAAAATAAAAATATATCATACTCAATAACTAAAAATAAAAATAAAATTCTGAAAATATAAGAAAAGAATATGTTTTTTTTTTTGTACAGGGACCTTCCGGTTTTCAGATCCACAGGGGAACCGATTAATCCGGACTCGAGCCGGGTAGGACCACAAGGGCGGCAAAGCTCTCCCTCAAGAGTTTTAACACTGCTGCATTCTCAGGACTCGAACTCGAGACCACTAGTTAATCTGGAAGAGACTCAAGCCATCTCATCCAAGTACTCTAGAAAAAGAATATGTTGAATATTCACAACACAATAATCAGCTAATCCAATTATTACACCTAAATTGTCCCTTTTAGACCAATAATATTTCCTACCTACTCAAGAACTGATAACAAATGGCTTTAAATGCATTAGTTGTCGACCCACTAAAGCATTATTATGGCCATGGAATAATAAAAATGACATTAATGGATGGCTACATGAATTAAATTCATGATGTTGTGGTTGTTTTGTTTGATGCATCACAATTCTTGTGTGAGAATATATACATAATGTCTACATGAATTAAATTATCATACAATTTTTTGTATCTTTTTTACAAAAATCTATAATTATCTTATAAAACGTCATACTTTTGTTTATATTATTTTTTAAAATATAATATTTTAATTAAAAAATATACATATATTTGAAAAAAGTATGACTAACTTATCTAACACAATCTTGCTATGAATTCTAAGCTAGGATAAGAACAATGAATTATTTCAATAAAAATACAATTATTTTAAGTGAAAAAACAAATTAAAGCAACCTACTCCTCACCTATCCCTAATTTTTTAACCATGAAATTTGAGAGTGTTATAGGCTGTGATCTTGTCATTTTGCAATTTGATATTTCAAATCATAGTATATTTTTTTTTATCTTTATATGGTATATTACTTATTATAGTTTTGTTTTTTAGATAATTAGCTGCTAATTTAATTAATGGATGTAGTGTGAATATGTGGTGTTTATGTGATGATGTAGAACGTGAATAACGGGATAAAAGAAGTATTCTCTCTCGTTAAACCACACAAGAACAGTTTTCTTTCTTAGACATCAATTGATCGTGTGTTCTTATCCCACAATGAGAATAAATAAAATTCAAGATTTTCTAAATCGCTAGCTTTATAAGCAAGTAAAGAAATATTTTTCTAATCAACTAATTAAGATAAAAAAGTAATAAAGATACTAATAATAATAATGCAACGTGACTAATTAAATTAACGTCGGAAGCCGATCGTATTCGTCCACAAAATCCATCGCGAGCTCGTCTCCCTCATGTGATCATTTATCCCTATCAAGGCAAGATCATGACTAACTTCACTTGATCTAGAAAAAAGAGGAAAAACTGAATATCATTTAACAAACATTATTGTTCCTACGTAAAAAAGGGGGAAAATTGGTGAAAGAAGAAGAGCAATGTAATTAGATTATTCGGTAATTTAATTATTTGGAAAGTAACAGCTTGAAACAACTCTTTAATTTTTTTTTTTTTCTAAAAAAGAAAACTAATTTCGGAAAAACTCAATAAATAAGGTTTTTTTGGAAAAAGAGATGGTAAATAAATTAATTTTACATATCAAACAACTAATTATCGACTAAATATTTGTATAATCAACTAATACAGTCGGCTAGTTACATGGATTATTCAATCAGCCCGCTAGTTCGACTCCGAATCGTCTCGTGGTCAATGGGCCATGAATTGAGCCTGTTGTTTGACCGAGCTGGTTCTGGGCCACATATTTGTAAATTTTTTAACTGTGAGGCTGATTCCGAAGCCTATATTTTTCAATAATTTTTTAATGAACCGTGCCAGCCTTGAATCGGTAGTCATGAACCGGCCTGAAACTACATGTTCACCATATCGGCTCGTAAATATCTTCGGGCCGGTTTCGGGCCTTCAAAACTGCGGCCTGGAACCCGCGGTTCTGATTTGGAACAATCATTAGGCCATGTCTACAAAATACAAACACATGATTTGAGACTTTGGGGTGCAAAACCGAAATTTCTCAAAGAAAAACCAGGCGAAAGTGCAAAATTACCGTTCTCATATTGGGGCAAAAATGCAATTTTACGGAAAAAAGAAACCACAACTAACCACACAACCAATTGCAGCAGTATTTATTGAATTGGCACAAATGGCCCCACTCACTATTTTCCTATTTTAATATTTAGTAAATAAAAAAATAAATAATACTACTAAATGACAGTAACCAGAAAATGAAAAGCCATCTGATTGATCACAACCAAAAAGTAACGAAAAAAATTCAACGGACGAATTTTTCTATTTATTTATTAATTAAATGTGCAATTAAATTTGGGCAACCTGCGTGATTACGGCAACCTGCGAAATTTTGTTTCACAAAATACTAAAGAAAATGCAGAGTGCGAAAAAGCAAGATCCACCCAAAAATGGCTTCACGCTGAAGCTGTAAACACTGAAAGCAGTCTTCTCTCCCCTTTTGTTTTGTCTGTCATGCGTTGTGCTCATTAAATCCCAACACCACTTTCGCCGATAAAAGTTACCATCATGCCCTCCCGCCGCCTCCTTTCCCCGGCGACGTCGCCTCCCGACCGGACCCACCATCTCCTCCCGCCTCTGGCCGGCTGCCTGACGGCAGCGTTCTCCATCCTCCTCCTCCTCGTTCTCTGCTTCCGGCGGATCAGCAGGAAGCGCACCGCGCCGAGCGCCTCCGACACCGACTCCAAGAAGCCCCCCCACAGCTTCTCGTACTCCCTCCTCCGCCGCGCCACCTCCAATTTCTCCCCGTCCCTCCGCCTCGGCCAGGGCGGCTTCGGCTCCGTCTATCGCGGCGAGCTCAAGCCGGGCCTACACGGCTCCGGGGATCCCGTCCTCGCCGCCTCCCGCGTCGCCGTCAAGCTCATGGACTCGGGGTCGCTGCAGGGGGAGCGCGAATTCCAGAACGAGCTGCTTTTCGCCTCGAAGGTCGACTGTAAGTACATCGTCTCCGTTTTAGGTTTTTCCTCGAACCCTAGTAAACGCCGGATGCTTTTAATTTACGAGCTTATGGAAAACGGTAGCCTGCAAGACTGTCTCTTTCACAAAAAGAGTGAGGAACTGAGAAATTGGGACAGGAGGTTCTCGATTGCTCTCAACATAGCCAGAGGGTTGGAGTACTTGCATCACAATTGCGATCCACCCATTATTCACGGTGATATTAAGCCGAGCAATATTCTGCTGGATGGGGGTTTTAATGGCAAGATTGGCGATTTTGGGCTGGCGAGGTTTAAAATGGATGATAGTGTTATTGTGGAAGCTGAGCAGAAGAAAGACAGCACTTTGGCAAATGGGGCGACAGAGGATAATGGATCTGTTATGGAGGACGCTGAGAGTGTGATTACAACAAGTGGGTTTGAGGAAGTAAACTGCACTGTTCAACATAATCACGATAGATCGCCCCAGAGCGTGGTTGTCAGGGTTGAGTCCTCGCCGGAGGCCTTGACGGGTCCCGAGCTGTCTCCGGAGGCAGGCCCCATTGTGTCGCCTAGAACGATGGCAGAGATGGCCTCACCTCTCGAAGGACTGGATAAAACAAGCGTTTCAGAAGGGACCTTCGACAAGCTTAGTATTGAGAGCGGACGTAAAATCAAGAAAAAAAAAAGTATGTCAGGCAAAGACTGGTGGTGGAAGCAGGACGCGGGCACTGATGGTGATTCGGGCAAGGTCAAGGACTACGTGATGGAGTGGATTGGGAACGAGATCAAGAAGGAAAGGCCTAAGAGCGACTGGATAGCGGGGAGCTCGGGCTCCAAATCTACCGAGAAGAAATCCGACAAGAAGAACAAAAAGAAAAAGAGGCAGCTCGACTGGTGGAAATCCCTAGATGATGAGAAGGATAAGAAGAAAGACAAGAGAAGGCCTGCGAGGGAGTGGTGGAAGGAGGAGTACTGTGAGGAGCTCGAGAAAAAGAAAAAGAAAACAAAGAAGAAGAAAAAACATGGGCAAGGATCAATGACCGACATTGATTCCTACAGTGAAAACTGGTGGCCAAGAGATGACGAGATGAGCGCCGGCCGGAAGAAGAAAAGGAGTCGAAGCCAGAGTAGGAGTCGGAGCAGGGGCAGTAAGGGCAGCATGGACTGGTGGCTAGACGGCCTCAGTGGCGATCTGTGGAGGACGAAAAACAATAACGCCTATGATTCGGTCAGTGGGGATATACCCAAAAGCGGAGGGATCAGCAGCACCCCGAGTATGAGAGGAACTGTTTGCTACATTGCGCCCGAATATGGTGGCGGTGCTGACGTGTCTGAAAAGTGCGACGTCTACAGTTATGGGGTTCTTCTGTTGGTTCTGATCGCTGGCAGGAGGCCGCTGCAAGTGACGGGTTCGCCCTTGTCCGAGTTCCAGCGGGCAAACCTGCTGTCGTGGGCCCGCCACCTGGCACGGGCTGGGAAGCTTCTGGATTTAGTTGATGAGAGGATCAGTCGGGAGTCTCTCGACAGTGAGCGGGCATTACTTTGTATCACGGTGGCTTTGCTGTGCCTGCAAAAGTCACCAGCTCGTAGGCCTTCTATGAGGGAGGTGGTGGGGATGCTGTCGGGGGATTTGGCGTATCCACAGCTGCCGGTGGAGTTCTCTCCCTCGCCACCCGGACGATTCCCGTTCAAGTCGCACAAGAAGGTCCGTTGAGTTTTCTGGTGTTGTTTTTGACTCTTTTTTATTTTTGGATTAGGTATATGGTGAAGGACTTTAGAGTTGTTTGTTTTGTTGATCATTGCGTTTTGTCTTTGTGAATGGTTTGTGTAAAGGAAGAAGGTGTTGAATTTTAGAATGTATGAATCCATTGAGCTCCTGCTTTTGTAGTCTTATGCTTTACTTAGGCATATCTGAAGGAGCATTGAGCATGTGTATTTTACAGTGATGTATCATGTGTAGGGGTGGGAAATCGTGCTATAGCGTCGTGTCCGTTTTTCGGTATCGTGTTTTTCTGTTATTTATTTTATTTAATCATACAATGTGAATATGTGATAATTAAGTCCAAATTTAACTAAAATTTTGTTTCGTTTTTTTGGTTGTGTTTCTGGTGCTGTCATGCCATTTATCTCTATAATCATGCCGTGTGGTGTTCGTGTTTCTTGTCGTGTCAGCCATTCCCATCCCTATGACCGGAACGTTTTTGTCTTCTGATTCTTGTTTTGGGTTTTTATTTATGCTGCACCTGGAGGAGTGCTCCAGGTGAAAAACTACCACTGGCTTGGTGTGATTGTATGCAACTGCAGGCATAATAACAAGCAAACCCACGCGGTGTATTGCTTTCAAATTTATGTCACATAGAAAGGGACCCTTGTTTTCTCATTGAATCTACTTGCTCTTGTGAAACGGAAAACTTCTTGATTAATTGATCCGACAGACTAACACTGGTTAACTCTTCAGAGCTGCAAAATTGCCACTTTATTTTGCGTGTGCTCGTGATTTCTTCTTAAATCTTCCCTTTCCGTTTTCGTTTGCATGGCTAGATGGAGCCAATGGAGCCTTAGTTTCAATGTGGTCATGAAAACATGGTAGCAACAGTAGCAGACATCTTCATCTATCATTTGAGTTATGACATGGGAGTTTGGCTACATAATTACTTGTTTCAGTACTTTATACAGATAATTAGTCGCTTTCAGCTATGATATATAATAATTCAGTAGCTTTCACAGATTTGCATAAGTGGCTATCTTCTTACTAGTTTTTAGTTTTCACTTATTCTATTGATGGCTACTTATGGTAAATGTCGAGCGATCAAGCACATATTGATAACTGACAAAGAGGTTTGTTATCGTTTCACGAGCACCTCCTGCAGATATTTAGTTTGTAAATAAATGGAGAGAAATGTCGATAGTGTTTCTGATTTTGAAGGATGTGTTTATATTTCTAGTCAGGCTAAAGTTTCAATGGCTGTTGTATAAGCAATTTTTGCAGATAGATTTGAGTTTTCTATGGACTGTACAAGTGCCTGTACTTTCGCAATAGTGAATTGTTGAGAGACAATTGAATCCTCCACGAAACACGATGAGTTTATCACGAGAAATTTTTTATTAAAGGAGGATCAATAGTGTTCCCACTTTCATTCCTCGGTGACTCGAACACATGACCTATCTGTCATAGGTGAAGCAGAATCACTACAAACCTGAGTACGCATGACCTCGGTCATAGCCTTGACCTTGCAGATATTGAAAGCGTACTTATAATGATATAGACGAATATAGTTATAAGGATACTCGAGGAAGATAATTATTTTTAGGAGAATGCTACTATCCCGTTACGGATGGTTCCGTTGTATTTTTAAGCGTTGGATTAACTACTCATCATTAGATTACATGTATATGTATGGCTAGAAAACACAACGGAACCATCCCGCAACGGGATGGTAGCATTTTCCTTATTTTTAATAATTGAAAAATTACTGGTTCCAGTAGTTATTATCTTTACCCATCGTTCGAATATAAATGATTATCCCCTGTATGATCACTTCCTCGTACAGGTTTCTTTTGCAAAATACTACGCTTTGCCTATTTTTCTACGCTTTGCAAAATTTGTGTGTAGTTGCCTCGTTATTCTCTCTTTTCCAATATTGGAAGCATACTACGCTTTGCCTATTTTTGTATGAATTTACATTATATTTTATGGGCTTCTGGCATCACGGGACATGCTTGTTGTTTAATGGACTTTTGGGCCCAAAGAAGTATGAGTTATATAGGAGCCAATTTACATATACATTTTATACTTAAATCCATTATAGTGGCAGAAAATGGTTATTAATTAAGATAATAAAAATTAATCACGTTGACATCTGACAGTAGATTTGAATACTTTTTTAATCATAATACTATATTATTACAATCCTTTTTACAGACACCACACATATTAATTAGGTGGCCCACGTACACTTATTGAATGTTAGGTTATTGATTCTGGACTTTATGTTCAATTTATTTATTACTTCCCCTTTTTATTTTTCGTTAGTAATAATTGTACGGAATTATTTGCTGTTGATTTCACAGCTACAAAAAAGGATTTTTATATTCGGCCAAATGCAATTTTTCCTGAAAGCATCCACAATACTTCGGGTTCAATTTTACATATGTGGCATATAAATGAGCTTAAGTCCTGAATGGCATAGACAAATCGAAGTAAAAAAAATTCAAAAGCCATCCAGTGTAAAAACAAAATACTAAGTCTAGAATATTTGTCAACCAATAAAAATGCTCTGAATTATTTTTTATTAAGAGAACAATAAAATTAAGAATAAATGCTAATTATTCAGGTTTGTACTTGGGTCCAAAGTAGACCCAAATGTAGACTTGGTCTCATTTTTTATTGCCACATAAGTTAGACCTAGTCTATTTTTAATTGCATTGAAAAGTATTTTTTTAATGACTAAGTCTATTTCTTACATGGTATATGATATTTTTGTAAGAAACTCAAAACATTGTGGGTGCTCTGATGGAGTTTATATAAATAATACACATGTTTTACTTGCTAATTACGTGGACTTAACCTTGTTAATCAATCATATGGACAGGTGGCAATTCAAATAGTAACCAAGTATTAATATTTATGGTCACATCAATATTCCCTACAATTAAAGTCGCTATTCCAAAATCATTAACAAATGCACTACTGTTTACCTGATTCTCCCAAGTTGTCATTATATATATAATATATTTAATTTTTTTTTTTAATTTAATCATTTTTTTTTAGTAGTCAGTCATGGTATCGGATCTATGCTCCGACTAATCCGTTGGTCGACCCGAGTCGCACACCTGGCAGTGGTGGGTGAATCTCCCAACAAGGATTTTTTGCATCTACAAGGACTCGAACCCGAGACCTTGTTTAAGCGACATCAACTCCAACTCCTATTGGTTTTAATTTAATCATTAAAGTCTCCTTCTGCAACAAATTAATTGTAATTACCCTAGTTAGTGTTGGTATAGCAGGCTGTGCCTCTCTATTGAAGAGTCACACTTTTCATATATAGATTATTTTATTTTTCCTCTTATTTGATCAAATTTCCATGTTTTTTGGGATATAAAAAAAAAAATGTTTCCTTTACAGAGTGATGGGCTGGCAGCTGAGGCTATACCTTCGTTCTATGATTGGCAGCAAGATAAGGTGTTGGAGGACCTGCTTGCAGATGATCGTGCCCATTTTGAGGGGATTTATAATGAGAATAAGAATGAAGGCGGAGGAGTACTCAAAAAGAAGCCAAGACCAGCTATGAAATCGATGTGGGATATTGATGGAGATAACAAAGACACTAATCACGAGGCTCGGAGAAGCATTCACCGGAACTTGGAGAGGCAGAGACGGCAAGAAATGGCCGGCTTGTACGCTTCTCTTCGTTCTCTTCTACCCCTCGACTTCATCAAGGTAACTAATTAGTTAAACAATCCATGATTGCAGTTAATTTTTTGCTGAAATTATCTCTAGTTAAAATTTGTGATGATTGTGATCACAAAGGGAAAACGCTCTGTATCGGATCAATTACACCAAGCGGCGATTTACATTCGTGTCATGCAGAACAAAATCGAAGAGATGAAAACCAGAAGAGATAAGCTCAAGTCACTGAGTGGTAATGGTCGTGTGGAGGGTCGTAATAAATCGGACGTAAATAATAAGGTGAAGGTAATTCTATGCAGGTTTGGGTTGGAGATTTTGATAATGAGCACAGGCCAGAGTAGTATTATGCCCCTCTCCAAAGTGTGTGCCTATTTGCTTCAAAAACCGGAGTTAACGGTAGTTAACTGCGTTTCTACGCGAGCCGGGGATGAATGCTCGTTTCTCCATAAGATTCAAGCTGAGGTGAGAACACATAATGAAGGGAAAAATTAGTGGTTTAGTTAGTTACAATAATATATGCTTCATTTTGTTAATCTCTTATATAGTTATATAATCATCATTTTGCAGGTCGATGATCCTACAAGCGTTGATTTAACCGAGCTTCAAACGAGGCTAGCTGATTTGATAAAATAAATTTGCTTAATTTTGGGAGTGGGATCATCTATGATTTGTGTGCATAGTGTATGTGTATATATGTATGTGAGTGTTTTCCTTTTCATCTTGGACATGAAATCTTTTGATTTTTCTTGCTTATATTATAGGCTTATTGGCTGTTGATGATGTGGATGATGATGACCTTAAAATGTTGATCAGTTGCTTGTTCATTAATGTTCTTGATTGGTGTTGCAAATTGCAATCTCTTTGTTCATTCATGTTCATAAATAAAGTTGTCAGAACAATTGGCATGAAAACTAATATTGACTTAGGAGGTAATCGTCTCTATATATCACATCAATGGAGTTAGTGTTTTATGTCCAACAATTGGCATGAAAAAAGCTCCTCAGACAAATGGCAAAAATGTTGAACACTCTATACTAAGCAAGTACAATGGAAACAAATTATACATTAAATGTAAAAATTGAAAATCAAACAAAGTTGTTGACCCACTAAAAAAAAATTGTCGCGTTCCAACGAAAAATTCAACTGTAAAGTAATATATTTTAATGGATATATCAACAAATATTATATAGGGATAGTTTTCGTTGGAATGATTCCAGTGAAACAGTTTTGCTACGAAGCCAACAGTTGGCTCCATAGTGGAGCCAACCTTCTATATACAACAAATAAACCTACCGTATTAATAAAATTGCATTAATGTTATTTAAGTAATCAGAAAATACGGTAAGTTTACTTGTGGTATATAGAAAGTTGACTCCACTATGGAACCAACTGTTGGCTTCATAGAACAACCGAACGAAAATAACCCGTCAGAATGAGTTTTTCATTGAAATTTTAATTAGAATTTGATGGTTACGGTCATTTTTTCAACAGTTTATTACTGAAGGAACTTCCGTTGAAACATGCAATGTCTATTGAAAAATTCTACTGAAATTTTTATTTTCATCAATACTTCAACTATTGAAAAATTTATTGTTTGGAATCGTTAAAATCCAACGGGAATTTTAGTGAAAAATCATTGAAGGCGAATATTTTCGTTGAAATCAATTGAAAAATTATAACAAAAATAATAACATTGGAATATTCATTGTAATTGTTGTTGGAGTTCCATTAAAATATATTTGCTTTTGAAATTTCATCATTTTTTTTAGTAAAATAAATAAATAAAAAAGAGAGCACTTTAGGTATAGGAGTAATGAGTTCCAAGTTTCTTACAGAGGAAAGGATTGCCAACTTTTTGGGCCGGGATGCCTGTGTCGTGGCCTAAGGTAATGGGCCGGGCTTGTCTATGATTTTTTAAACCGATGAAATTCCAATGGAAAATTTTAAACGAAAATATGTTTTAATGGAGTTTCAATGACAATTTCAATGAATAGTTCAATGTTATTATTTTCGTTAGAATTTTTCAAATGATTCTAACGGAAATTCCAACAAAAATATTCTGTTGGAATGAGTCCATTGAAATTTTCGTTGGATTTTGACGATTCCAACGGTAGATTGTCCAACGAGGATGACAATAAAAATTCCAACCGAAATTACATATTATAATAAAAATTCATACGGTATAGAAACTGTTGGAAAAATAGTCGTTCAAATCATCAAATTCTATCTAGAATTCAATGTAAAACTAAGTCTAACGAAATATTTTTGTTGGAATTTTGTTGGAATCATTTTGAAGGAAAATATGTTTAATACTTGCTGCCGTACATTAGAATCGAGCTTTGTGCTGCCAGCAACAGATTCTGTCCCTATAACAGCCAGGTAATATATGTGTTTAATTGTCTCAAAATAATTGAAAATAGTTCTGTCAGGATAAGGATAAGCTTAATAAGCATAGTAAAGATCTCCCAGGATTAATGTAGTAATGAATATGCTCTATTATTGGGTATCAACTGTTGTTGGGAATGGGCAGGGCAACTGTGGTCTCTCTCTCTCTCTCTGTCCTGCTTTATTGATAAAAAAATTACCATATTATAGCATTCATTCATAATATATACTTGAGTTTGATTCGGATTCTACTATTTAAAGTTCTATGATACCAGTTTATAGTTGAAATAAATATGAATTTTAATTTACGAAACATTACTAAAGAGATTTATACTTATTTGTTCATTGACTCTAGAAGATTCGATTTCTTGTTGATTATGGAAACTCTTGTTATTTTCTAGGATAATGTTCCTCTATTCACGGTGGACAAATGTTAATATGTCCACCGTTTATGTGGCATGCACACATTGGTGATGTTAATATGTTCAAAAAATACATCACCAATGTGTGCGCGTCACATAAGCAGTGGGCATATTAACATGTGCCCACCGTGGGTAGGTGAACTGATGCGGATATATTATTATTATTATTATTATTATTATTATTATTATTTTATTAATATTTAATATGTATCTTAGAGAATAAGTTAGGAATTTAGTATTATTATTTAATATTATTATAAGAGATCTTGTCTTGTTGGACAAGTTAGGAATATGGTTATGAACCTTATTTAAAGGACGCATTATCTATTGTTTTATTTAGTTGAATTTGAAATGAAATAAAGATATTGTTGAGTTTTACGTGTTTTACGAGAGAGTATCTCGTTTACTCGTTTATTTATCCT